TATTGATTAATCAAAATAAGGGGTCCCCGGCCCACCTGACTCGCGTGGAGCGTGGTGAGATGACAGATTCGTTGATTGGTCCATTCACACGCGAACGCGGATCCAGGGAAGATCNGGGGGGGGGGGGGGGGGGGGGGGGGCAGAAAAATCTCCGAATCATTATGAGAAATAAAGCGCGGTATGAAGCGTCAGTCCGAAGGGGAGGGGGGAGTATCTAACCCCGGTTCAAGTCACAATTACGGAGGAGTCACAGACGTACACACACTGCCGTACAAAGAAGTAACGTCGTATGTGTCTACCGGCGTTGCCAAATTCCCTTTGATAAAGCCGTCATTTTCAGGAACTCATTTTTCCGATTTTTCCAACGCAACTGCAATTTTATTACAAGTCAGAGGGAGGCGGTGGAGACTTAATTTAACCGGATACCTACTTTTTCTCGCATGCGAAAAAATATTTCCTTGAGTTAAGACAGAAAGAAAATTTCGTTTTTTAACCGAATGGGAAGAAGTCGCGTTAACGCCATGTCAGTTCGCCTTCAATTTGTATAGTAGGCAATACTGGCTCTCAAGTGTTCGAATAGTGGTATCACTACAAGCTTATTTAGAACACTCAACAAATATTCTTTCACCAACGTGGATAGGTGATTCTAACGCATGAGCAGCGCGCCTACAATTTTCAGTGTATGCAGCACGAGCTCTCCCGTGGTCGAATAGTGGTATCAGCTCGTGCGGATCCTATATTTTCGATAGGTGGGGGATTTTTCAGGACAAGGATTTGAATTGAAAAGGGGTGGGTGCAAAATCGACAAAATTTCCCCCCTCATGGATGTTGACCAAATTTCAGTATGTCATTCCTCACTATGGGATACGCCTTTTCCCAAAATTTCACGGCCTGAAACGAATTTCTCTCCGCGTAGCAGCGTTGCCAAGTTGAAAACCGTCGAGTTCCATATCTTTTGAACGAAAAGAGATATTGAGATGCGGTTTGCGCTAAAATTCTCCAAAAATTGCGTTCTTTCGATATATGTACTCAATTTGATCGTTTAGGTAATTTAAGATTGCAATGATGCCATTTTTCACACTTTCTTAAGGGTCAATTTTTTTTCAACCCTAGTACATCATCAAATGCCGGATTCTCGATTCGAAAAAAAAACTGTTCATTGTATTATTCGTACTTTTCCATTTCTTTTGATATATTATAGCTCCCAGGGAAACGATTAGTAACGGAGATATGAGCAATCTAAGTTTACGCTCCGCGCGCGCCGACCGGAATCCGGGCGCCGCTCGCCGCTCTGAGTCGTCTGCACACTCCCTTTCTTAAGCTTCACGAGGTCATTCCTATGTATTTTTTTGCGTACTTTCCGTTTCTGGCCTTTGAAAAGGGCTCCGATGAATTTTTAGGGGCCTCGCGGTACATTGTTGCCATTTTTTGCTCGTATTTAGGGTTTTTCCCCTATTTTACTCACAATTCTACTGAAAAACTTAATTTAAACGGAAAACTGTGTGCGTTGAGGGAAAGAACATAAAGAAGAAATAAAAATTCATGTAAAAATTTTTCCTTCGTTGCCAAATTTTCGAGAAACATCGTACTAAAGAGCCAAATATTTGAAAAATTGGATAAATCCCCACGCCATGGTTTATGAAAGTGGGGCATAGCTTTCATATTGACGTACTTACGTAACAGATCTTACCTATCTATACAACATATTAAAAAAGCATAGTTGTATTTGGATTCCCACGATCTGAAAATTGTCCAGGATGTCACCTTTTGCGGTCTTTTCTTATGTGCAAGGTAGATCTTTTGAATGTTTTTCGACCTTTAGTCATCCTCCGTAGGGGTGTATCGTATGTATTTTTGCTGTAATTTTCATTTTTGAAAATACGTAAAAAAGTACATCATTAACGTTCGTAAGGACTTATTCTTACGTTGCCAAATTTTCAAGAAAAATCGTCCTAAAGTGCCAAAAATTGGATTAATTATGACGAAGACGTCTCTAGGAAAGTGAATTATGACTTTGACTTAATATTATAATTATAATTTTAAGTATGACTTAATGCTACTAGCCACTTCCCCAAGATGAGAGGCAGAGAGGCTGCATGAGAAGAGAAGCCCACAATTGAGGAGCATTCCGGAAAAAGGGCACATACGCGTATGTGCCCTCTATCGGAGGTGACAGAAATGGATTCCTTGCATCCTAATGTACCAATGCCCCGAGTTTCAGCTTAATTGATCAATTTTCGGAGCTACGAGACCACGTTTTTTGAGGCTAAGAATAAGTCAGGGGTCACAGACGTATTTCATCTATTTGCTTCTGGGTACTTTCGCCGCGACGTTTAGGAGATAGTGCGCGGGCAGGCAGGGAGGTGATGGGTACTGATAAGGATCCCTCACTACAGATGCATCGCACTGATTCTGCTAATCAATGCAACAGCATCGGGTTGCAGGGACTGTAGGGATTCTCTACGCGTTGAACCAGTCAAACGTGAATTTTTTTAATTATTAATGATTTATTTTTTATGGTCTCGTGTGAGATTGAATTTTTCGATTTTTTCGCGTGTTTCGCAGTCTTTTTCATTATTAATGATCGAAGATGATCCACCCGCGCGTTCTCAATCGAAATTATTATTTATTAGTCAATCGGAATTATTTACTCTTGTTTAGAAACTCGTTGAAGTCTCGAAAATTCAGCTTCAAAAGCCAAAACCTATGACCACTGGTCCATTTCCAGGGAAAGGGCACATAACGAATAATTTTAAAAAAATTCTTCCCACAACACTGGAAGAAGTGTAAGTTTTACCAATGGCCGTTATTCATTCTGGAGTGTATGAACGTTGATATGAGTGCCCCAGTTCCGATGTATGTCATCATCAGTGGCCAG